TAGAGGAACTGAAAGAAAATCTTCAATCAATCCAGAACAAAGTCCATCTAAGAGCCTGCTCTGCGGGGAGGGCGGGGTATAAATTTTATAATAAATAAATACATAAGAGCTCAGGAGAAGAAACGGCTCTTTCATCAACATCAGGATAAAATGGATAAATTAAAAATAGTATCAGTAAATATTAATGGACTAAATTCCACAATGAAATTTTTAAAAATCTTCAATCGACTTAAAAAGCAAAATGCTGATATTATAGATCTGCAAGAAACCCATATCAAGAAGAAACATTAACATATTCTAAATAATAAAAAATTAGGCAAAGTATATCTTGCCTCAGCCCTAAATAAAAAGTGCAGAGTAGCTATTTATATAAGCAATTAACACCTAGAGGTAACTGAAGAATTAAGGAAGGAGAAAGAGAAAAGAGAAATAACGTGCATAAAGAGGATCAAATTACATCTGCAGAAAAAGATATACAAGAACAATTTATCAACGTTTTCTCAGAATTATATAAAAAGAAGTCTGTCTCTGAAAATGGAATAACACAATATTTAAAAGATACTCGATTTGTAAAGTTTACATCAGAACATAACAAAATTATAAACTACACAATAATTGTTCATGAAATTTCTCAGGCAATAAAAATATGAAAAAGGACAAAGCACCAGGTCCAGATGGGCTGACAGCAAGATATTATAAATGTAAACAAGCTATGAGGGGTGGACACTTGGGAATCTTCCCCTTCTGGCTTATTTTGTATTTGAAAGAAACCCATAGTTGGTGTCATTTTGTAGAATAAATAGCTAGGGGTTTTTCTGGTGCAAATTCAAGGACAAAAAACAGACTTGAAGCTGGAGAGCTAGCAGACTGAAACACATGTTGTGGACATATTCTCAAAGCTGGATTAAGAGTACAAGAAACTATGACAGAATTGCACATGAGACTAGTGGACAAATCCAAATAAACTTATTTAACTTATTATTCCATCTGTTTCAGCCTTCTCTTTTATCGCTAGTAGCTGATAAAAATAATGAATAGTAATTAATAGGCAATCAACATTACAGGTTTCAGAAGCCCAGCATTCTAGAAAGTCATTCAGATGCCAAGCGGGTGGGCTGAGGAACACTGGGGCTAGAAGTGTTCTCTGAGCTAGGGAAGATGCCAAGAGGAGTACTGAATGTGGCGAAAGTGTATTTTGGTGTATACATTATGAAATGTCATGTAGCTGGCTCTGTATGTGATATTTTGCCACTACTCTTCTACCTTACCTGATCAACCTCCACAATTATAAAGAAAGAGATCATTGCAAAGTTACCAAGTCTTGCTCTCTCCCAAAAAGGACCTAAGCCTTCCCTGAAGTTTCAGCCATTCGTGAAAGGAAGAACAGAAATTATTTCTCCCAAAACCCAAATAATGTTGGCATTTGCTGGCGTTACTTACATTTATGTTGTAATTGGAGTTTGTGGCAGTTTGGTATGGATGCCAGCCTCTAGGTGGGATCTAGGGATCCCCTGGAACTGCACATCATCTCCAGACTATAGAAATCAGTTCCCCTGGAGAAAATGAATGCTTTGGAGGATGGGCTCTATGGCACTGTACCCCACTGAGGTCCCTGTCCTCCTCAGGCTCCATCCTCAAATCTTTAGCAGTTTCCCCACCTAGATCTGGCAACTGTACCCCCCCATCCCCCACTGGTAGCCAGGGGGACCTGGCAACCCTACTTTTAGGGATCACTGGAAGGTTGACTTTAAGCAAGATCCCCTGCAATCACTAGGCTGTGAATCCATGTGCATGGAAAGCTAGCCACATGAAAGATGTCCCTAAAGGAAGAACATATATTCTTTATGAAGAACATATCCTAGAACTTACAAATCTAGCAAACTACCACTTCTATTCCAGGTTATAACAAGTTGTATAGCCAGGAGACTACTATCCGTGAAGATTCACAACATTTATACCTGTCAGGATACAGGCCTGGCAATAAATAAATAAATAATTGTGTCTGCGTGCATGTGTATCTCCTCAGTTGATGAAGATTAGCTGTCTAATAGACTTTTAATCTTCCCCTTCTACTTTCAATCCATGAACAGCTAATGGAGAGCAACAAGTAATTATATAAGGTTCTGAATATCATCTGCATACTGAAACTATACAACAGTATCTTTTCACTTTTCAGATTTTCTTTTAGAAATATTAATATAATCACTAATTCCAATGGCCTTAAAGCTAATAAGAAAGAAGGTAGCAACCTATGGTGATTACCTCATTTCATACTACTAATAACAATAAGTATAACTGTTAGCATAGATCTTTCTGCCAACATTCCATTTTGCTTGTGCAAGAAACACATTAATTAACAAAGGACAAACCATTTCCATGAGCTGAATCCAAAGGACTATGAGAGAAGCCACTTCTCCCTTCAAGCTGCCACCCACTGTACTCCTTGAAATGTTGGTCATGGGGATGGGGAAGCTGTCAGAAACAGAGCAGGGTGTGATATAGAGGTCTGCAGGGAACGGGAGGATTCAGCTAAAATAGCTGCACCCCTTACATAGGAGGAAGCATCCTCTGCATTTCTAGAAGGCAACTTTGGTTCCAACTGCATAGCTATATAACAGGAGATAATTTATTTTGGTTTTGTGATAGATAGATAGATAGATAGATGATAGATAGATAGATAGATAGATAGATAGATAGGCTACAAATCACTGTTTGGTGTAGTGTTTAAGTGTGCGGAATCTAGTCTGGGAGAACTGGGTTTGATTCCCCACTCCTCCACTTGCACCTGCTGGATGACCTTGGGCGTTTCTGTCAAGAGCTCTCTCAGCCCCACCTACCTCACAGGGTGTCTATTGTGGGAAGGGGAAGGGAAGGGATTTGTAAGCCACTCTGAGACTCCTTTGGGTAGTCAAGAGCTCTCTCAGCCCCACCTACCTCACAGGGTGTCTGTTGTGGGGAGGGGAAGGAAAGGGGTTTGTAAGCCACTCTGAGACTCCTTTGGGTAGTGAAGGGCGGGGTATAAATCCAATCTCTTCTTCTTCTGTTCATTTATTCTTCATCTATCATGCTATTTTCATGTAACAAGAAAACAGTGACCCTTTCTATAATTATACCACATGCCATTCACTCAAGCCAAAAGAACCAAGGAAGCTTTAATAACTACCCATCATTATTATTATTACTTTCATATAAGCACGCTATCATGTATCTAGACAGAATTTAAAGTATTACAGTAATTCCAAAGCCACTTCTAAACACAAAGTGTATATTTAAATGTGCAAGACAGGTATTTTCTCTCTATCTGCTTTTCTAAACCAAAACATTTTATGCCCAATTTTTTACCATTTAAAAAAACTACATATATGTGTTTTTTTAAAAAAACTACGTTCAAACTAACTTGGTATAATGCTATTTTATTCATAGAAATAATTGGAAAACATAAAACATGCAGTTATTTAAGGAAAATTAACTTCATAAGTTTAAGTGTCATTTTAAATTACAACCAATTAATGTCTAATTCCAGAAAGGGCTTATAAAGCAGCACTACTTGAAAAGAAGAGCATCACAAGCAATGCTGAATATATGCAGTACTGTACTTGTAGAAAGCTAAGTATCAAAATATAAGGCATTAGACAGAAAGCCAGTTGCAGAGTACATTTTTTCATCTATGGGATGGCCTTTGGAGTGATAGCCCTGGCCAAATTCTGTCAGTTCTGAAGTTCATGGGACTAGGGCTGCCAAATCGGGCCGGGGGGGCGGGGAAACCCCCGCTTTGGAGGCCCGATTTCCGCCACGGCGGAATCGGGCCCCGGGGAAAACCCCACCCCCGCGTGCACGTCACAGGGAAGTGACGTCATGACGCCGGGCACGCTGGGGGTGGGGCCACAGCCATTTGAGGGGAAAACTCATGCCGGGAGCCGGGCTGGAGTCCCCCGCCACAAGGGTTAGCGGCAACCCTGCATGGGACAAAGCCATAGGGAGGCAAACTGGGACCAGCAGACTGAGATGACTCAGAGCTGAAGGTATAGGCTATTGTTGGGAAAGGTCCAAAGTAAGACAGGAGCCCTGTGAAGACTGACAGTTCTTAAATCACAATCTGTACACTGTAAACACTGAAGGCACAGTTTGCGTGATCAGAGACATCTGTGCAGAACTTAAGATGAAGGCCACCAGCAGAAAATGGAATTTCATACCACCATCCTTCACATGTACATTTCTATCCATTTTGACCCTCTGTTCAGGGTAGAAAGGCAGCCAGATACAAAATCTGCAGCTCACTGACTGACAACTTGTCACAACAGTTTCCACAACAGAATGAATAGCCTGGAGGAAAGCTAGCCCTGAGAACTGCACCAAGCTTAATTCTCTCAGTGAGAAGTGGATCTCTGAAAGGTTCTACATGGTAGCATAGAATTTATCACTCCTTTTGCACTATATGTCATAGGCAGAGGAGATTAGGCCCTGGGCAACTAGCACTGTGGCTCCTCAGTTGAATAAGGTAGCCACTCAGTGGATATGAGCTGCTGGTTTTGGATGCCCATCAGATAGCAGGCTCCTTTGGCATGCAACTCCATCATCTGCCAACAAACTGACTCCACATATTACTGATGCATGACCAGGTCAGCATCCAGAACCAGCAATGTGACCATAGCCATGTGCAAGACAGTCTGGATCATGACAAATATTCATAAAAACATTTTGTTGAATTGATTTTCCACACAACTCACATCTAGCTACTTACATGAAATGAACCTAGTCAGGGGGAAAAATTCACCTCACATAGCCTAAGCAAATGTTTTCACATGCTTTCTTACGAAAGAATCACTCCAAAAAGGCCAGTCCATTGATGCAAACTGTTATGCCAAAGTTGACCCCAATATAATATTTTATACATATTGTGGCACCAAGGGAAGGTTATTATCTTGCAAATATTAATAATTTTTCTGTCCTTGCTTAGAAAAGAAGAGACTACTTAACAATAGAATATCAATGAAATATACCTTCCTGGATTTCTCCTTTGCACTGAGATAACATGACAGTCTCAGTCCATGCTACTGGAAGGTCCACGTGCTTTCCACAGCCTAATGTGCGAAGACCTGATCTTCTCTGCATAGGCAACAAAGGAAGAGAAGCCAAAGGGAAAAACATGACGCAAATCAGTCCAAAAGTTGTATTCTCATAGGTACCTTAGACAAATTCATAAAGGAAAGGTCCGTCAATGGCTACTAGCCATGGTGAATTAAGGGAGCCTGCATGTACTGAGGCAGCAAACCTCTGAATGCCATTGCTGGGAGGCAGCAGCAGAGGAGGGCCTAAGCTCTATGCCCTATTTGTTTGGCCTTCCAGGACTACTGGTTGACCGTTGTGTGATACAATGTGCTGGACTAGACAAGCCCGTGGTCTGATCCCTCAGGCTCTACTTCTGTTCAACTTATTTAGAACAGAATTTGTGCCTACTTAAAGACAGCTGATGCAAATTACAATTGCTACAAGTACAAGGTGTTTAATCCCTTGAGTTGACACTTAATGGAAGAGAAATGGTAAGCTATAATCATAGTGTTATTACAATGAAGTACCTTGCAACAAAAGCAATTAATTACCTCAGCCAAGTTGTAAAAAGGCTGTTACACTGTTATCTATATAAGACTAAATCATATACGCTGATCTTACTGAAACAAATCCCATAAGCATTCCTGGTTTGGACTTTGAAACCTAGTTTAGTCTGGGGTAGATTCTTTTATTGTGTGGATCAGCGTTTATGTGTGCACAAGGGTTGTATCCTGAACAGTTGTTAACCAAAGAAAAAGGAGGAGGGCATTTTTGCTATCATTTCAAAATTCATTCTTTATACATTCCACTGAATGAAATAACATATGCCAAACTGATCAATAGTGATTACACAACACACGTCATTTGTGACAGACCATATTTTTTCTCAACTGCTACAAGAGACAATTTTTTTCCTCAGCCCAGGAAAACTGATCTTTATTATCCATTGCAGATCCTCAAATCTCAGTAGGAGCAATGGGATATATTTTATTGATGCATTCTTTTCTTGTTTATTGGCTCTTGCATTCCAGCATATAATTCGCATCCGCCAGCTACATGCATTATCAAGTCTCTCGTCTCAGTTCTAATTACCGTTTGTACCAGGGGTCTTGTTGTAGAAAAAGAGCTGCCGGAGCTCATTAGCATAACTCATTAGCATAACTTATTTGCATATGCCACGCCCCCTGACATCACCGGAAGTGACAGAAGGCCACACCCCCTGACATCACCGGAAGTGTGTCAGAAGGCCCGGCTACTTACCCTCCTGCTTCATCCTCATTCCCAAACGGAATGAGGATCGAAGCAGAGGGCGGGGTAAAGAAGGGGGCGGGGCTTCACCACGTGACCGCCCCGCCCCCTAGAGGTTCTCTTCCGGAGCTCCGTACCTGAGAGCTCCCCCCCGACTAGAGCCCTGGTTTGTACAATTCTGAAGGGAACATTAAGGTAACCACTGCCAAATATCCAGGAATGGGAGAATCTATGTGTTGCAGGAATTTTCAGCTCCTGATGTTTTCACCCAGGTTGACCTCCAATTAAAGACGTCTTGATCAACTGATCATATGTATTTGAATCAATGAGTTAACCAATTGAAACTGATATTACTTGCAACCCAAAGAGCCCTAGCAGAAAGCACCAGCTCATGCAAGTGATCTCCAATCAAGGATTTCCAGCAACTCTCCCCCAGCTGCAGCCCTGAGGTAGACTAGAAAAGGCAGATTTATGGAGAATAGCTGGCTGTTAGCCCTGACAGACAAATGGGGCCTCTGGGTTCAGAGGCAGAATACCTCTAATTGTCAGATGCTGCAGTCATTAGGTGAGGGCTGTTGTTTGCAGGCCCTGCTTGTGGACTTTTCTGTGGCGTTTCACTCATCACTGCTGGAAGCAGGATGTTGATCTATCGCTCTGATCCTGTATGTTTATTTTATGTTCTTATAAATTTCTTCTTTCCACTGCTGCTATTGGTGCTTTCCCCCCAGCCATCTCAGTCCCAACTGTTATCTTAAGTATTAACTGGGGAGGGGAGAGCTAACAGAATTGTGGGGGGGAAACTCACAATAATTTTTTAAAATGAAAAATCCCCTCTCCCCATATGATTCACTAAACATCAGATTAACTAACCAGTTAACTGAACTGAATCATAGCCCCATCCAAAGACAGCAAAAGGAGGACATTGCTGATGCTGGCGTGGCACCACCAGCACCACTAATGGGTATCCTATGCTTGCTCTTCAGATGGGAAACATGTACAAACAAGACCTCACACCAAGATGATTTCACCAGGGTCCACAGCAACCCAACCAATCACATTGCAATGCACAGGCAGAGATGGAAGCAGCTAACTCATGACAGGTAGAAATGGAAGCAGCCAACTAACAAATGCTGACACAGCCATGCCCCTGACATCAACCTGTCTTGCAGGACACAAGGGGGGGAGCAGCACCCCTCCCCCAGTAAGCAGTCCCCCAGTAAGGAGGACTGGAGGGACAAGTATAAGGTCAAATGAACACATGCCAGGGAGACCTACAGTGGCAGGTTTGAGTCCCTTCCTGGAGCCATAGGTCCCTTTAGCCAAGCACACACAGGGGGAAGAAAAAATGGTCACTCCAGCAATACCACCCACATGGTTCTGCAATTTAATTGCAACCCCATTACAATGCCCAAAACCTCTCCTGCACAAAGGTTCAGTTTTGGGGCAGCAGGAAAAAGAAACACCAACCTTTGGAGGATGTAGGCACGCACCAGTACACCAACAGCAGAATACACAACTGCACATTTACAAAAAGCAGACCTAACAACTCAACAGTTCACTAGGCGAAGGCTAACAGGGCCCACTCAGAAGGCTGCTGATAAGAAGGCAAAGCTAATCTTTCAGCCAGCAACAGGCTGATCATCAGCAAAACAGAAGGATGAGGTTATACTAGAACATGCAACACATGCATCTGGGAATAGTCCTCTAATCACACTCCCAACCACACTCCCAGCATTAAGAATCCCCCAGCAGGAGCAGAAATTATCTGGAAGAATTAATGATGTTAATCCAGAAGGGTTAAACTTTAATTATCATCTGTACAGGGACTTTCAGTCTCTATACATAACAAAATCTTATTAAATTTTGCAGGCAAACTGATTAATTTTATATTTCCCTCCTCATCTTGGATAGTTCTAACAAGACTACCTTTATGGTGGCCAAATTTTGTGCCTCAGCATAACTGCTTAAATCTTTTTATTAATTATGTCTGTACTATTGAAATCAGCCTATAATGTGGCTTCAAAATTTTATTGTATGTAGATGTGCTGATGATTCTGTCTGTCTGTCAATCTTGGCTAATCTATTATCGCAATGAATAAAGTTAAATTTAAGAACCCCCAGCAGCTGTGCTGTTGACACCAGTTATACATACTAAGCCAGAAAGGACAGAAGTATACCCAAGGTCCCCAACTGACACCATGCAGTGAGCCAGTTTGGTGTAGTGGTTAAGTGTGCAGACTCTAATCTGGGAGAACCGGGTTTGATTCCCCACTCCTCCACTTGCACCTCCTGGATGACCTTGGGCAAGCCATAGTTCTGGCACAGCTGTTTTTGAAAAAGAGCAGTTTCTGTCAGAGCTCTCTCAGCCCCACCTACCTCACAGGGTGTCTGTTGTGGGGAGGGGAAGGGAAAGGAGTTTGTAAGCCGCTCTGAGACTCCTTTGGGTAGTGAAGGGTATAAAACCAATCTATTCTTCTTCTTCATGGGCATAGCTACCAGATGGCCCAGGAAGGATCTCAAGGCTCAGGTTTTGCACCAACAAACACAATTGTGTGTGCTCATGTTGAATGGCTGCCCCCCACACCAATAATTTTGGTCAGCATGCCCGTATGAACCATCTGTCTACTATAGACAGAGGATTCATTACTGTCACCATATCTTATTCATCCAAATTCAATCAAGACAGAGGACAGAGATGAAGGTCCAGTGAAGTTATCTGTTCCTGATGGGGTAGCCATACTTTGTCTGATCCACTCTGCAGTTTGAGCATCTTACTGCTCTTTTAGCTGTAATTGTGACTATGAACCTTGGGGCCAGCTGCACCAAATGCCCCCAGCATGCTGGCAGCACCAGAGGGTCCACTCAGCTCCAACTCACCCATCACCAATGTCAGGCAGGGTTGAACCCTCCACATGGTCTGAGTACTAAAAAAGGACTCAGTAAAGTATTTCACTCTGACTGGCATGTCATAATAAACAGAATCAAAATTCTAAGTAAAAAATCTAAATAGGAAATGCTTTAAAGGCCTTGTTGGATTAATGTACAGTGTACAATGTTATATTCTTAAATAAATAAAACCGGTTTACTTATTTGTCAGTGAATAGCATACCACACTGAAGATTGCACTTTTACATGTCTATTATGGAGCTGTCTTAATAAGTTATCTAATGCTAATCTTGTCAGGAGGTAAATATAACCCAAATCTGCCAGACCTTACCATGATAGCTATGGAACAGTGCCAATTATAAAAGCTTTCTGCTGAATGATGTTAGCAGTGAATTCTTCCTGCCAAATAAAAAGTGGAGGAGGCCGGATGGACTTCATGATAAAACTCATGCTCTACACCCATGATATGCAAATAGATTTTTAAGCTTGCCAAAAAAAGTATAATAATTTCATTTGGAAAACAAGAGAAATTACTCTAGTCCCACAGCTTCCTTGATTGTGTTTACTGAATGGTACTGTTATGGCCTTTAAAATACCTTCACAATTTAAATTACTGTTTTATTTCTACACATTACATATTTTTAGCTTAAAAGAACTGCTCAGAAAATCACAAAGCATGAAATCAGACCAGAACAATATTCTAATCAACTATTTAACAAAAAAATACTGTTAAAATTAAGTAAATAATGAACATTGTAAATTAGTAACAGTTATATTAATTGTCAACTATGAGATGCTACAGTAAACATTTATGGTTAACAGATGGTCATCATGAATGTCCTTTTAAAAATTCTGTAGTGTATACAAACCTTGCATCTGGCAAGCATTTTTCTAGCTAGCTCGATGAATTTTTCTTGGTCATCTGTTTGTAGAGAGTCATTGAAGTCCTCAATGAATTCTTCTGTAAGTTGGAAAGGGTTTCTAAAAAATAACCCAATAAAATATTTTAGCTTATTTGGGACTTCAAAAAGAAATAGTATCAAAATTGCAAGTATAAAATTTAAATATGAAATACTTTAAAAGGACTTGTTACGTATAGCATAGAATGTTTTTATATTCTTAATTTCTGAGCTATTACCTCCTGCTAGCTCTTCCACTCTTACCACAAACTTGATAATATCCAAAGTGCTTCTGAAAATCTGACTCTTGACAATGTTATTCAAATAGAAGGGCACACCTGAGCAAAAGCCATTTCCTCCAGGGAAACTGACCTGCATAATCTGGAGATCTATTGCAATTCCAGGAGAAATCCGGGCCCCACCTGGAAGCTGGTAATCCTTCTGACAACCTGATTTTACACAGTCAACTGTGATTAAACCCAGTGGGTACAATGGGTTTAGACATTGTGACTAATGAGTTGTATAAGAAGAGTCATGGACAAAATCTCCAGTAAATAGGGTTGCCAAGTCGAAATATCTCCTTACCGGGGGACTCCCGCGCTGCGGCTGGAGCGCATGCGCACAAAGCGCATGTCACCCGGAAGTGACGTGACGATGCTGGGCATGCTGGGGGCGGGGCCACGACCATCCGAGGGAAATAATAGAGTTTTCCCTCAGATGATCGTGGCCCCGCCCCCAGCATGCCCGGCATCATCACGTCACTCCTGAGTTACGCGCACGTCGGGGTGGTGAAGGGTATAAAACCAATCTCTTCTTCTTCTTCATGGGCATAGCTACCAGATGGCCCAGGAAGGATCTCAAGGCTCAGGTTTTGCACCAACAAACACAATTGTGTGTGCTCATGTTGAATGGCTGCCCACCACACCAATAATTTTGGTCAGCATGCCCGTATGAACCATCTGTCTACTATAGACAGAGGATTCATTACTGCCACCATCTCTTATTCATCCAAATTCAATCAAGACAGAGGACAGAGATGAAGGTCCAGTGAAGTTATCTGTTCCTGATGGGGTAGCCATACTTTGTCTGATCCACTCTGCAGTTTGAGCATCTTACTGCTCTTTTAGCTGTAATTGTGACTATGAACCTTGGGGCCAGCTGCACCAAATGCCCCCAGCATGCTGGCAGCACCAGAGGGTCCACTCAGCTCCAACTCACCCATCACCAATGTCAGGCAGGGTTGAACCCTCCACATGGTCTGAGTACTAAAAAAGGACTCAGTAAAGTATTTCACTCTGACTGGCATGTCATAATAAACAGAATCAAAATTCTAAGTAAAAAATCTAAATAGGAAATGCTTTAAAGGCCTTGTTGAATTAATGTACAGTGTACAATGTTATATTCTTAAATAAATAAAACCGGTTTACTTATTTGTCAGTGAAGGCTTCCCAAGTCCCCGCGGGGCCCGATCCGCCGGCAGTGGGGAATGGGCCTCTAGGGCAGGGGTTTCCCCGCCCCCGGGGGGACTTGGGAAGCCTACCAGTAAAGTGGTGACCAAGCATGCTTTTTACAGTACGGAATTTCTATCTATCATAAACCAGCTCCATCACTATTTGGTACTATTTAGTACTCTTTTCACCAGCATTATCCTTCTGATAGACTCAGCCAATGTAGACTCCTCATCAAAAACATCCAACCACAGGCAACTTCTAAAAAATAGGAGAATTTAAGCAGCTCAGTGTTTTATGTTGGACTATTTAATGTTGGGGTTTAATTGCTAACTTTTTATGGTGTTTTATGTTCTTATTATGTTTAAGTTTTGTAAGCCACCTTGGGCAGGTTCCCTGGAGAGGTGGCACGTACACTTTCTAAATAAATCAGTCCTACTGGATTCAGTGTGATATTCCTTTTTGATGGATTTAGGATGTGTGATCCAGCTGAACTTGTCTACACCATTTTGTCTCCTCCCTTCTTTGTTCCTATAAGGAAATGGCAGTTACCTTTTCAAAATCACATATGAATATTTGTATATGTAAGGATAATTTTTAACAAAATTATTTTAATTGTTTTTATTTAGATTTTCCCTGAAATGTATGTCTTTGCTTGCGATCTAAATAGAATTTATGTATAGTCTGTAGTCTGCTATGCCAGAATTTTGAAGTTGTATCTGACATACAAAGTCATTATAACAAACAGTAGGTGAGTAAGTCACAATGAGCTGGCAGGAGCAATTAAGCCATGTTGTGAGTTAAAATGAATATTAACAAGACAGCCAACATTTCAAAAAGTGAAAACTACACAAAGCAGTTGTTTAAATTTAAAATCTTCTAGAAATATATACAAATGGCTTCTGCTGGAAAATACTGTTCCTTGGCCAATCAAACAATTGTAGCATAAAATATAGTTTAACAAATCACAATTTTTTTTTCTGTCAAAATTTTCAGTCACCACTGCTGCTGCCAAAGACTGTCTGTGGCAGATGGATGGGCAAAATCCATTGTTCATCACCCCTGTTAAACAAGTTGATTAACTGCAGCCAGCAAAGAGTAAGATCCTGCTCTCCAATTTTCAATCAAGAATGATTTGCACATGATGATTTGCTGTAACTTTGTAGAGAATTGATCCAGGTGGTCAGCCATGTTGGTCTGAAGCAGTAAAACAAATTTAGACTCCAGTGGCACCTGCAAGACCAACAAAGATTTATTCAAGGTATGAGCTTTTGTGTGCATGCACACTTTTCCAAAAAAATTAGAAAAACTGTATGTGCATACGAAAGCTCATACCTTGAATAAAACTTTGTTGGTTTTATATGCCACTGGACTCTAAATTTGTAATGTTTTTAGCCAACTTGAGTATGCTAATGAAAAGTTGGAATATACATTAAAAAAAACCTTAACAATTCAGTTCAATTCAATTACCTTTATTGGCATAACAAATTTAACAAATCAGCTCTAAAGAAGACTGTGAATGATAAAATATCTACATGACTTCCAACTTCCAGTGGTGCCAACCTCCAGTGGTGGCTGGGGATCTCCCACTATTACAACTGATCTCCAGGTGACAGAGATCAGTTCACCATGAGAAAATGGCGGCTTTGGAAGGTGGACTCTAAGTCCCTCCCCTCCTCAAACCATGTCCTCCTCAGGCTCCACCCCCCAAATATCCCAGTATTTCCCGATCTGGAACTGGATACCCTACTTTCAAGTGGATGACCAGAGCAGCAGGAGCACATATATATGACTAGAATGGCATGAAAGGTTGCATTACAATCCTAAGTACAGTTGGCCATTGACTTCAGTGGACTTAGAAGTGTATAACTCAGCTTAGGACTGTAGCAGCATCAATAGAACTAAAAAAATGACAAGGCCAGGCTTCTACCTTAAACAATGTAGCCAAAATCCAAGAGTGCCCAAAGTCTGCCTTGTTTATGATAAATCAATAAATAAAGGTATTGATGGGGAGCTGACTATGCCTGCTCTTACCTAGTAGGTCTAACTACCATCTTCCACCATAAACTCTGGGAAGACTGCCAGTGCAACAGTGATGTTATTATAAACAAGAGCAAGGTAACTGGCCAGCAAACCTGGACTTTTGTAAACAACCTACCAGAGGTGGCAATAATATTTAAAGGGGGGGGGAATAATAATAGTACATGGAAGCAGGAAAAGGACTGGGACAAGTATCAGCTATTGGAGAAACCTGCTAAACCTTATAAGTCCACCAAAATCCACTGGATTGAACAGCAAGATGTCATCACAAGGCCAATCAAGCCAACTGAAGAAAACAACACCAACAGCTTCACCAAGCACATTAACAGCTGGCACATCCAAATTTTCACTGCCAGCACAAAAGGAAATGCAGGTGGTGGTGCAATCATCCATTCAGAGCAGTATAGCTGAAGCAATTCAACCTATCAAAATAATCATGGACGAAATCAGAGATTCCATTCAGACAGCGATCAATCCCATTTAAAAAGCAATGGAAGACATAACAGAAAAATTCTCTAGCAGTCTCCGGGCACTTCAGAAACAAATTTCTGATAATACACAGAAGATCACTGAATTGAATACTTCTACAGCCAATATAGAAATTAAAACACAAGAAATGGAAGATAGGATAAAAGAGACTGAGACAAAACAGATAAAACAGATAAAAGAATATTTAAACAATCACCAACCGAAAAAACTTTCAGAAAAAAAAAGAGAGATTCTTAACCTATTACAATGATGGAGGTAGTAGAGGCCTTAAAAAGACAAAACAAAGGTAAAGCACCAGGTCCAGATGGACTACCGATAGAATTTTACCTTACTTTTGAGGAACAACTGCAATTACATTTTAAAGATGTTTGTAATAACATGTTGACTGATGGAGAGATTCCGGAATCATGGAAAGAAGAGAAAATTTCATTAATTCATAAACAAGATTCGGATGGAAAAGAAATTAAAACTTACAGATTGATTTCTTTATTGTGGACTATAAAATTTTTGCCTCAATCTTAGCAGAAAGATTATAAAAAAACTTTTATCAAAGATAATACACAAAGACCAAGCGGGTTTTTTTCCAAAAAGACAAATTAAAGACAATGTGAGGAGTATTCTAGATATAATAGAATACTATGAAGTCCATCCGGAAAAGCAATTGGTTTTGATATTTCTAGATGCGGAGAAGGCCTTTGACAACGTCAACTGGAATTTTATGTTGGAAGCACTGAAAGAGGCACAGGTTGGTGCCAATTTTGTGAAGATGATTCAGGCAATCTATACCAAACAAAAAGCGGTGGTAATGATTAATGGGGAACAGACAGAATACATCAAAATTCAAAAAGGGACGAGACAGGGATGTCCTTTATCCCCTTTGCTATATATATTTGTACTGGAGATACTCAGGGGTCATTTCCTGCAGGAGCGCCACAGGAGCGGAGCTCTGGCAGTAAGGAGCCCAGGGGGCAGGCACATGCAACAAGCCCCACCCCCTACTCCCAGCAGCCCTCAGTCAGAGCAAGAAGCAGTCAGGTAAGCTGCAGAGCTCCCCCCGGCCCAAAACAGTCCAGTGGCACCTTTAAGACCAAGTTTTATTCAGGTACAAGCTCTGCACGTTCCCGTCCCCCCCCCCCATAGCTGGCAATCCAAAACAGTCCAGTGGAGCCTGAGCAGTGGGTGTTGCTTTCTGACACACTTCTGGTGTTGTCAGGGGGTGTGGCATATGCAAATAAGTTATGCTAATGAGTTATGCTAATGAGCTCCTGCACCTCTTTTTCTATGAAATGACCCCTGGAGATACTTAATGATTCTATAAGAAGACAGAAAGAGATTAAGGGCCTGAAATTAAAAGGAGAAGAATATAAACTTTTGGCATTGACTTAGCATTTATATTGGAGAACCCGCTGGATTCAATTTTTACTTTGAAACAAGAATTGGGAGCTTATGGATTAGTAGCTGGTCTGAAAATTAACATTCATAAAACCAAAATACTGACTAAAAATATGGAAGAGGAGAGGGCAATCTACTTACAAAATGCTTTCAACTGCAGAAAAAATTAAAATATTTAGGAATTGTAATGACAAATAAATGCAGTGTTCTACAAGAGAATAACTATAAAGAACTGTTGAAGAAGACAAAACAGGATCTTGAGA